AATTGATATTGTGACTATAATATTATATTTTTAATTCGCTTTTGCAATTGTTATTTCAGTTCTTATTGCTTCGTTGGCGAAATGGTCGCAAGTGCGACTCCCGAGCATGTATTGTAGTCTGGGGTTCGAATTATCTGGAATTGCGTCTGGTTTATGGCATAGGCTCACCCAGAGATTCGTTGCTAGACAATAGTACTAAACTTAGCTAAATTGATTAAATTCTTTGAAATGAGAAATTAAACAAGCAATCTAAATATGTTGGCTATCATCCAATCGTGATGAAGACGTCTAACAAAATGTCTGCGCCGGCGCATCGTTATGCCTTTCTGGGAAATATCGTAAAACTCTTGCGCATGTCATATGTAGGTATATCTGGCTGGCATTAGAATGTGCAGACAAGCCAATGTTAGTAGATTATCGACTTTATTTTTTTGATATAGAGTCGAAAATCACTTGAACGTCTATTGAGACAGGATTTTAATAATAAGTACAATTTCAATATAAGGAAATGACTGTCTCGACAAGTTGTAGGGCTTGAAATTAACTCCCAGGTCAGGCAAAGTACATCATAACATAACATCACTCTTTTTATCCCCGGAGGGATAGGCAGAGGTGTACGCTATGGGGACTTAATGCAACCGTACAATGTAACACCCACTTTTCACTATGTATGTTATGAGTCCCATGTAATAGGGGGTGAGCCTATTACCATATACCGGACACAATTCCAGACTCCGTGCTACTACTGAGATTCTTTTTAAAACTCAGTAATACTTTACCCGACCTGGGAATCAAACCCGAGACCCCTGCCCGGCAGTCGCACTGGTTTCAAAAGAATATTTCTGACATGACCTACAATCGATATCAAAGCCAAAAATAGTTTTTAGAATTTTTGTCTGTTTATCTGTATGTATGTCCGGGCTAAACTAAAAAATACTGTGGTTTACGAAAGCTAGGTTTTATAAAATGTCTATTGATACCACAGGCTCACATCAAGCTAAAAAAAACCAGCATAAACTGACCGCTGAATGTACGGCAAGACCATACACAGCTAGACCATGACCAACTGGATTTGTATAAATCGAGCTGTACATTCCAGTATAAACTGACCTTCGAGTGTACGGAAGAATGATGAAAACCGAGACCATGATATACTGGTTTACTATAACTATTTGTCCGTATGTACCACAGATGCAGTATCATTTGCCCTAAAGGCATTTGTGGACCAGATTGTAATTTGTTTGTTTTGTACTGGAAATTAAACATCGATTACACATAATTTAGCTTTCTATACAAATTACTGGGTATCACTGTTCCTTGAGCAAATGGAGGTTGTGTTTACCCATTTTTTACCAGTTTAGTTGAAATAGATTACTAATTTATATTTTAATGTCCGTCTGGTAGATTATTTAAAAACATTAGACACGTATTTTTTATTTTTTTACGAAAACGAATAGTTTCGAATGTATATTGATTTGAAATGTCGCGTGACGTCACTTCTATGCACATTTTATACGTAGAAATGACGTTTGAGCCCCAACTCCTAAACTTTGATTCGTTATATCTAAGTATCATTTTATTATACAACAAAATAAAAAAATACGTGTCTAATATTTTTTCATTACCTAACTGACGGACTAATTACATTTTTAATTTTCATACCCTGTCATCATTCCTATTACTTTGTCCAATTCGTTCTAAATAGAGTTTGAAACCCTTGGGTGTATTTTGCAAAATCTCAGCATAACAAAGTCTTTGTTCTTTGTCTTTCTTTGTTTATTGCTGGAAACTGTTGTAGGGTAATTTTCCACTAACGATAGTCACCGGTGTATGACTGACCCCCGTGGCGGTTAAGCTGTTACATACAAAACACCCAATAGACATAGACCTATACGGACCTAGAGAGCGTCTTAGGTAAGCACCACATAGAAGAGTGCAGCGTGCCAAAAATTTTGAGTTGCCAGTTACAGAAGAGTCTACTGTAACTGGCGTAATTTTGGGGGGGGAGGGGATCATTCAATGACTTCTCCCACCTTTGGTGCGGGTAGGGGTGTCTCAGTCTTGTACTGACTAAAAATCCTACTCCTGCTCTTCGAGCCGAAGCCAAGGCAACCCGTTAAGTCCTACACGACTCCGTATCGGACATCAGCCCTACTGGACCGCATCTGTGGTGGTCTAATGGCCCTTTGATACCCATAGGCACTTGCCTAATTTGCTTTAGGATTAATACGGCTCTTGACATATAACTACGATGTTCCTTTATCCTTCTATCTTTTCTCATCAGTTTTTTTATCTTATTAATTTAGAATATACGTACTAACAAACAACCATGACACTTAATCTGTAAATTAATGTAACACTTGCAACTTCAGTTTCGTTCAATTTCTAGTGAGTGTTCCGAAAAACAAACGCAAGTTCGAATTCCATTGCGCAGTAACTATGATTTAATAAAATCTTTTAATAATTATCTTTGAACAACACCAGCAATAGAAATGTAACTACGTCATATTTTCGATGTGAGTCAGTGTTTTATTTTATTGTATAGTTTTTATAAATAATGGAGATTTCAGATCTTAGATTTAGTAACCTTGAAATATATTTATTTAATTACCTTTTTACAAAATCGGCAATATATTTATGTTTCTATCGATGTATAGGTTATCTAAGAAATGTTATTCTTGGCAAGTATTTTTATTACTTAAAATAATACTGAAGTAGTTATAAATCTAACTGGAAGACATTCTAACTAATAATTTTAATGCGAACGCTTGTCTGACATTGTACCTATGCTTCGATTACTTTTCTTATATCACACTTGTACCTAATAGTTATAAGATATAGTTAAGACATGTACAACAATTTTCCGATAAAGTAGAAACTCAAACTCACTTTCCTGTCACCTGTCAGTCTGTCCGTCAGTGAAAATAGGTACTCTTTCCAAAATGCAGATTCAAGTGGAGAAAAACGAGGAAGAAACTCCATTCGTTACTCTTTTAGAGATGTATCTACCTCGTAATGTAATGCCGGAATAGAACTACAAATTGGTTCAAATAAAAACTATAACAACTACAATTTATAGTTAACGATACAAGTTTTGATAGTATCAAGTATTCATTCAAAAAGGCGCTAAAGATGTAATTAAACAATTAATTTTAGCACGACATTTAAAATAAACTTATCGATTCAAATACAAAGCACAACAAATTAAATTAACTAACTTGTATTAAAAAATAATTGTGAAACATAACCATTATATATGTAAACCGGACTATAGATACTAACTTTGAATTTAGTTACATCGTCACAACACTATCATTAAAAATACACTTATAGGAGCAAAGAAACAGCCAGTGTTTTTTCGTTTTTTTATAAGTATTTTCTGGTACACGTATTTTATTGATTGGTAAAGACAATTTAGTAACCTTTAAAATGAGAGTATTTTGTTGTAAAAGGACTTTTAAAAGTTATAGAAGTTTCGATAGAGAGAGCCATGCTTCGGCACGAATGGGCCGGCTCGACCGGAGTGATACCACGGCCTCACAGAAAACCGACATGAAACAACGCGAGAGTTGTGTTTCGTCGTGTGAGTGAGGTTACCGGAGGCCTAATCAACACCTCCCGAGTCTCCTCAATCCCCGAATCCACCACAATCCTCATATCCCCAATATCCAAAAGGCCGGTAACGCACTTGTAATGGTAACGCCTTGGTATTTTAGGTGTCCATGGGCGGCAGCGATTGCTTACCATCAGGTGATCCGTCTGCTCATTAGTCATGGTGCTCATGGCTAGTGGCTTCGTTTCTTTGCTCCTAAGCGTATAATATTGTATTAAGTATATTTAAAATAACGACTTCATGAGTTGACATAAAGTCTGATTGTAAACATGTCCAATTAGTGTCCATGTCATTGTATGACTTATGCTCTTCTATTTAAGGTATAATTTATTGAGTAGTAGAACGATAAATTTGGTTAAGATGTCGTTAATCAACACAACATACGAAATAATATGCATACTTTTTGATATATTACTCTTTAAGAATGTCATTGCAACAAGCCTGAGGGCTGAACCCATAAAGGAATCAATTTAAAAAATGTTTAAACAATTTCGTAGTACGAAATTCGGACACCGCCATTTTTGTCCAAAAAAAGAGACAAGTATAGTTAATTAATGTTAACAGTTTAAAAGTAGCTCATAATATTAAAATTGTAATAACAATTATGTCTATAAGAATTTGAAGCTCACTCGAATATTTTAATGGATCCTAAGACAATAATATTCATTCTCTTCACACGACGGCTAAGTACTAAGCATTCATATACTCGGACATTCTAAACACTAAAGAACAAATCACGCTATTTTCAAGTCTGTAACGATCTTCATTTGTTAGGGAACACGACACGATACAGAGTACCTATTATTAGTCCCTAATACTGTTATTGTAACGTAATATATTATTATACCCAATAACTTAGACTAATGTACGTAAGGAATCGCAGTAAAACAACGAACAACGCAAGTTGTTTAAATGATTGAATTATCGTCCCTTGCGCAACTTTGTTTAGTTTATAAAGCTAAATATGTTTGTAATTTTGGTCTTGTTTTCTAATGAGTTTCTATAGACTAAAATAGGACATCTTAACGAAACAATCCATTTGAATTTGTTCTGTATTTAATTGCGAATGCATGTAAGTACCTAATTCTTGTGTAATGTAATGAGTAATGTGGTGTGTAGGTAGACAGTTTGTGTAACTGTAAAGTGTTGTGTAATCTATGTGCTGTGAAATGCATAGATGACAACCTTCATTCTTGTAAAAAAAAAACTATGTATTTCTAAAACACGAACACTATCTTTAAATACCTCTTCAGATCTGAATAGCTGGCCGAAAAGAAATGATTTTAAAAAAGGAACAAGAAAAAAGTTTGTCACAGCCCTACACCTGTCATTGTCAAAGTGTTAGCACCGTTTCAGTGTTGTTTGTGGTAAAAACTATTTATTACTATTAATGTCCGTACTGGCGTGTCGAGTTCCTCAGCTCTAACCCGTCGAACACGTTCAGATTATTCTTCCTCGCGTATTCGTTGATTATCATCTTTCCTGAGGACAAACAATGCGCAAATTGGACAATCGCTTGGCGGGAGAAAAAAAAACTGCATTGAACCATTGACAAATTCAAGATGGCCGCTACGTTTTGGTTGTTACATCGATGAAATATATCACGAAATTAGAATTTTATTTGTTTTCTATTTTTCTTTCATCAATATATGGTATTAAAATGCAGTTTCTTTATTTAATTGTATAAAATACTATTATGAAAACCTTTTGTTGGTAATAACAACAATTTGCATATTCCAAGTTTTACTGTACAGAGAAGGAAACAAATGAAGACAGTTGACTAATGAATAAATAATTAAAATAATTTACTTTCAATCAATTTAGATCAAGTATGAAACGAAAATCAATATACATTCCAATGAACACAACAAGAGGTTTCCAGTACACATATTCGCGTTGCGAAAAAAAAAGTATTCAAGTCAATAAGAAGTAATTTCACCACTCTATTGAGTTGTCTACTTTTAACTGTCAAGACAACACCTTTTATATAGTTAATTTAATCTTTTTCGTCTTGAATGTTAATTTAATAAATTATCATGAAGGCACTAAGTTGACAGACTGATGACAAATTGATAAAACTGTCATGACAGCTTATATACATTTTTTTTTTTGGCAACCGATTCTCCAAAACGAAGTTGTCGACTGTACTGCCAGTGTCGGGCTTATATACATATTCAAATTCTTGACAAATTTTTATCTCTATTCCGAGTTTATGATACAAAAATGATGACGTAATTAATTAAATACGTGAACACACTGCTTTTTGAGAACGCAGAATAAAGTTATAAGTAAAGGTGTTATCTTAACATGTATGTATTAGGTACAGTTTACTAGCACTTTTCAATTAAAAAAAAATTAGTAAAACTTAAAAAAAAATGCACACAGTACGCCAAGAATTATTCCTTTGCCCTGGTACACGAATTTGCATCGCTACGTGTCATGGGAATCTACATATATTTTGTCTCTTTTTTTACTTCTATTATTCACAAAGTTAATTTAAAATTTATTCATCGAATAATTTATGTTTTTAGGTCATTGAAATGCGCAATAAATTATACACAAGTTGGTAATTGAGAGAGGTAACGAAATAAATACAAAAATATTGTATTTAAATGAAATATTTCATATGTAGGATCGAAGCTTTAATTTCTCTGTATATGATTGGTAGTGTAATAATTCATCTGGACAAATATTATAGATAGAAATATTTAATAAATATGCGACTACATGTCTACTGTCACTTCTATATTGGAACAGCAGCATCCATCTTGTTTTTAAAAGCAGAAGCATTTTTTAACCTCTTGAATAAACGTTGTAGTGTTCACACTTGTATTCAAGTTTAATTTTATTCAATGTTAAAAGTTACATACATAACATCACACGTTTAACCCCGAAGAATTAGGCCGAGGTGATAACTATTCACTATTAATGTTGTGAGTCCCATGTAATAGAAGAGGAAAACAGTAAAAAGTTTTAATTAAAACAAAAAAAACAATCGTGTTGCCAGTTTAGGTTTTTAACAAATTAATGTTACCAGCAAATAATAAAGAAACTTACTCAAATATTGTATGCGAAAGTTTCAAATTGTCCAATGCGTAGGTACTATTACCTAACCAATCTTTTTTTTAAGTAATAGTTAGTTTTTAATTCAAGTTTTTTATTTGAATAAATGATCACCAATCTTAATTTACCAAATTAACAAAACAACCAACGTCCAATCAATGAAAAATTAAGTTAAAATAAATAAACAATCCTGTCAATTAACTTATGACCGAAAATTATTCATACTTATTCGAAAATCATTCAAAGGGTAAGTAAGGACTGGCAGAGAATGCCGTTTAGCATTAAGCCCTCCTTATGCAATTGGGTAGGTACTTGCCAACTAATCAAATTCGATACTTTTTTCGAACTGTCAAAAACGACAATTTTCTATAAATTTTGTACGAGATTGTGTATTGTGACGTCACGTTTTTATAGCGTCAAACAGCATACTCATTTCTTAATTTACCGGATAAATACTTGGTCATAAAATCAATTAATGAAAGTGTGTTCTTTTTTTTATATTTTATTGTATTGAACTGTCGATATAATTTATTTTTGATTAAGGTAAGTACTCAATTGTGTGAAACTTAAATCAAATAAATATTCGTATCAGTATCATGATATTCTAGCCTTTTAAAACAAATCAAACTGCTTTTTTATCTCAACGATGTATTTAACCTATTATACAATACAATAATCCTTCAGAAAACTCAACTGTCAACAATACAAATATAATATAATATATAAAATACCTACACATAAATCATGAATACATGTTCACCACAACAAGAATAGTTAACGAAAATATGGTCAGAGAATAACAACACCCAGGTACAACTTTATACTTGCATCATAAATCTTATCTTTTTATTCGAGACACATTTAAAAAGGTTTGTGAACCCCGACATGTACGCAGGACAAAAGAATAATAGAGACGCTAGCGAGCTACATTGGACATAGATTAATTTTTATTCGAAAATATTTATTTATTGACCAGAGGGCTGGCTATTACTTCGGACAGAAACTAAGCGTTGCCATTCAACGTGGCAATGCTGCCAGTCTTCTGGGAATGTTACCCGGTGATAGTGATACGGACGAATACTTCGACACCTAAATTAAGGGTATATTTTTTGTTGTCTCCATTTTTTTTACTTTCGTTTTATTTAATAGTTTAGTTGTAAATATTTCTGTAGTTATACATATTTAATAATAGGCATTTATTAATTAATTTATTTGTAGAATTTTCATTGATTGAAATATCATAACAAATTACCATTTTTTTTAACTTATTCAAAGACTAATAATCGGATGTCTTAACAAAATGCCCTAAATAAATCGAAATAAAAATAATAACAAATCTCACACCAAAATCATTGAACAAAGATCGATTTCTGTCATTTTATGGAGTTTCTATCAAAAAGCGACGTCAATCTAAGGATTTTGAACTAAGATTAATCATTGACTGAATACGGTCTTGAAAGCAGGCGTCTATTTCCAATGCAACTCTTGGCTGAGGCTAAAAAAAGGTCAGTTCGTGCTAGACTGCAGGGAGCCCTACACCGCCAGGGCTGAGCAGCGTTCAAGGCACGTATGGAAATAACAATGGTAGCTCATATAACACTGTTACATCCGTATTCAAAGTACGGAAGACATTTAGGCGTCTAAGCCCGCTACAATGTAACACGAACTGAATTGTTCAAGCGCTAAAAAGATTTCTAACACATTTTAATGTTGGTTAGCTGTGTTTTTTGTTATAACCGTTAATTCGGATTGGTTTTGATTTAACTCCTTGAGTACCTACCGTCATTATAGACACAATTAGAGAACAATAGGTTGCGGGCTCCGGTGACCGCTCGATGTTTGACAGTTTAAGTTAACAATACAAAAATAGTCAGATTAACATATAAATCTACATAATTGTAAATTCAATATTCAGTCAGCAAATAAAACTGAAAAAGTTAACAAGAGAAAAGATCTATTTTTCTTAAATTTTCGAAAAAAAAAATGTTTTTAGCGCTCAATTCAACTCTATAACTTTACTGCGATCAATCGCTATGCAAATAAATTACAGAAGGACAATTGCGGGTGGCAGGAAAACAAATGAAGGCCTACCTTCGTCTATTTTCCGTGAGGCCTCGTCCACGTCACTGCCTGCGTAATTCAGGATGACCAGGACCAAAGGCATCATCTCCCAGGAATAGTGGAACTTCTCAAGCAGCTTGTTACAGTTGTCCACCAAATTTTCTAAGGAAACCGCTGTGGAAGAAAAAATTTATGTTTAGTGTTTTGGGTCCCGTAAAAATCGACTAAGGAGACAGGACTAACATAGAGAGCACAGAGGGAGCAGCAGTGTTTAAGTGTTCTCTGATGAAAGTAACTGCGCTCCTTAAAAGTCAAAAAAGTCAAAAGTCAAAAATCATTTATTTCAATTAGACCAGGAAGGCACTTTTGAACGTCAGCAATAGAAATTTTAAAGTGAAGCTATTTGCTCATTCCAAGGTGTAGATTCCTATGGAGAAGAACGCTTAACCCGAATATCTGCCTGTCAATTGTCCAAATTATTGTAAAACCCTCTTTGTAGAAGGCCCATAACAGATTTCTACAGGGTGTTAATGAGTGCTTCTTACACATAGATAACGTCTTGCCTTTCATCCCCAAAGGGATACAATGGTAGGTACAATGTAACACCCACTTTTCACTATTTATGTTATGACTTCCATGTAATAGAGGGTGAGTACATTGCCATATACCGGGCACTTTTCCAGACTCCGTACTACCACTGAGATTTTTTTTAAAAACCCAGTAATACTTAGCCCTACCCGGGAATCGAACCCGAGACCCTGTCGAGTCGCACTTGCGACAACTCGGTCAACAAAAGAGTCTTTGCTGTGCTTTTTACGATAAAATCTAAACAACCATCTTGATAATAAGCGACACCGGTGGTCGGAATCGAACACCTCCTAAACAAAATTAAAGTACCGTGCGACCACTTGATATATTTCTGAGTATTGAGCATACAAACCACAGTACTAGTGTTGAATGACCATTGTTTATTTACTTGCATACCCAGATAATGATACGATGACATACTACATAAATAAATGAACTACTTAAACAGAACTGAAGCGCCGAACAATTCATAGAAATCATTGTCTTGCATCTTTTATTTAGACTGACACTAATATTAAAGCAAAGTATACTTAAGTGTGAAGTATTAAGGTACAAGTTCGTTTATACATAGGTCGTTTCCAGAAGATTCGAAAGAGGTATGTACAAGTACAGAATGTTAATTGATCCTCAATTTTTCAGAATCTTCATTCTTATCAACAGCCAATAAATACCCACTGCTGAGCAAAGCCTCTTCTCACATGGAGAAGGTTTGAGCATTAATCACCACGTACATAGGTACGTAATTAGCATAAGCTCAACTCAATGCGGACTGACGATATTAAACTGATAATTAGAAATTATAAGCCCAGGTTTCCTCACGACGTTTTCCTTCACCGTTTGCCAGTGGTGTCTAGATAATCTTAGAAAGTACACAAAGCACCGTTAATTAGTTAGCGGCGCTACACATCGACACAACTATCATTTACACAATATACATGTGTGGGTAATTTCATATCAATAGATATGTATAGAAACAATCGTCTATCACACACATCTTGGTATTTAAAAATCATTTTTGTGTCGGTATACGCAATAATTTAGTAAATAAGTTTAAATAAAAACGAGGGTAAAGATAAAATTACACATAACAATAACAGCGCTTAATACGTTTAATACAAACTGTACGGAGACACCTGCATTCTGGTTTAAGGTGCAGGAAGCCAGAGAAGAAAACATTGTTATCTGTGGTTCACCAGCAAAAGCGCTAAGAATTTGCTAAGGACTTTATTAATTTTGATTGGGCGAACAGTGTAATCATATTGAGCGACGAAAATACTTTCAAGTCGGATAAGGATGGGCGTAAAATATTGTGAAGAAAAGATGGAGAAAGGTATACGAATTGCAACCTTCTGCCTTGTAGGATCAGTGATTGTATTGATTTCGGAATCAATTATTGAGCCTGTCAAACTCTGCCTTTATTAAAATTAACATAAAATAATGTTTAATTTTTTTAATAATATTAAAATGCTGTCTAGAACATACGGTGAAGTGATGTTATTGTTTTGTGGTTAGAAATTGTCATAATTTCTTTCTATTCAACATGTTTATTCACTTCACTTTAATTTTTCATTAACAAATTTATTTAACTGCTTTCGAACTTGATTGACATATTATATTTACGCCCATCTTCAATTAATTTAAAGTTTCCCTGATTCTAAAGGTCATGAAAGTTAAAATCGTTCCATAGCATTCGTCACATTCTTTTTACTATCATACAGCCCACTGAATATTGAACCTTATAACAACCGTCGTAAAATAGATAATTAATGGAAGTTCAAACGACAAAAAGTCGCCCATTTCAAGAAATATTTTACATGTAATTTTTTACATGTTTTACTTGTTTATTACTGTAAAACTGTAATTTAATAATACATTATATTATTAAATTACAAAACAAGAATGTTGTATATTTGTTTATTACCTACTTAATAAAAAATGTTGCTGCCATCGTATTACCGCTGTACCGCATGATATTTCCCGATTCGACTATGAGGTTTATTGTCATATCTATTAATTATGATTTAAAGAACTTTAAACTTAACATGTGGTATATAATTAATTATTGAATATATAAATATTGAATATAAAACAACATATTTGTATAATAAATAAATTAATTGTAATAAAAAATAGTATTGTTTTATTTACCAACTCATTTGCTTCTTTTATAGCCTGATATTTATATTTTATGACAAAAAACAAAAAAAAAATAAGAAAAATAACAAGGTAAAATAAAATTAACTTTTAGCTGGAATAGAACCCACATCATTGATCCTTGAAAGACGATAAAAGCGTGCTCATTAACCAATCGACCATGAGCACTACGATAATGACAGTGAAAATGTCGGGTCATATCAATGATTGTAAATAGTTTTAACCTTACCTATGCATTAAATTATAAAAATACGTATACCGACACAAGAATGAAAATACCAATGTGAACGTGGTGGACGAATATTTTTATATACAGTTATATGAAATTACGCACACATGTACACTGTGTAAATGACAGTTGTGTCGATGTGTAGCGCTGCAACTAATTAGCGGTGCTTTGTGTACATAGAACTTGGAAAACGTCACATTGGCACTGGCTTGGTAGGTTTCGAAACTGCACTCCGCACTCTATGCATGAGAAGCGGGCGTCTTAAACCTCCGGATCACTACGACAACTATGAATATTTGTCAACTATTAGACACGTAATACTCTAGATAAGCCACCATGCCGTAGTTAAGTTATAAACTTATCTAATGAAAATTATCACTAATCGTACCTAGACAGTCGCGGAGAACCTAACGGGTAATCCGGGTAAACCGGCGTCGGTCCGGCTCGACGTGCAGGAGAAGGAACGGGGTGGTTTTTAGTCAGTAAGAGTTCAGACTCTTACTCTCCACTGACACTCCCTCCCGCCTCACCCAGGCGGGAGCAGTCATTCGATGATTTTCCCCACTTAAAAAAAAATCGTACCTAGACAGACTTAAAACCTACATCTATATATTCTCCAAAGTCTGACAAACACTTCTCTGAAAACCGCATCAAAATCGGTTCAGCCAATCATGAGATAATCGCGCCCAAACATACATAATACAGGTCAAATTCAACTTCTTAATTTTTTGAAGTTGGTTAAAAATATTATAATGCTTAAAAATATCAAACGCAGTGGGCGTTTAATTAAATGTAAAATACAATTAGGTTACGCATTAACCGATCTTAAGATACCATAATAATCTAAGTCAGAACATAAAAAATTAAATGGAGAAGCATTAACGATTCTCTTTTGATGTCTCTATTTATAACACTATCTAAAGTTACGGCAATTTTGAATTTATATCAATTGCAAATGGTTTCCCCTACGAAGAAGGTGTTAATAAATGTATTCAAACGCAATACTCATAACTCAATTGTAACTACATTTCATAAAAGTCGTTTAGCACAGTAAATCAAAGGTTTTTATTAAATAATATATTACACAAGGAGACTTAACAACGCAATAAATCTGAATCCAGTAACGCCGGAACTAAGGAGCGTATTAAAAAAATAACAATCAAAATGGCGTACATTTATCGCCGAGACAAACTTGAGAGAATGTCAATCGACACCAATGAGACTATCGACTGACCATAAACAAGGATTAAGAATATCGTAGCGGTACGTCACTAGTGGCCATAAAGTTGGATGTCAGAAGGTCGCGCATCATACAGACACTTCGTTTTTATGACTTCCCTTTGTGCTGACAGCTCCGTCGACTATAAAAAACCCATTCAGAGGTGTAGAGACACTTGGGCACACGTCGTCATGGCTTTAGCCTCCAACTGGAATAGTGTTGTAATGTTCGCCGGCGTGTAAAATAGACATATTGCTACTTAGGTACAGCCTTATTCCGTATTGTGTCGATCGCTACTACATTTCGCTATGGGTTTTAACTTGGCCAAATGGCCTTGTTTTATTTTAGTTGTTCAGAGATCTTATGGTTTTAAAACTTCGTTTAATCGACTGTTTAACCTGATTTATTTTTGCAATGAATAAGGTAGAATGTAGTGTTGTAAATCAATTCAGATATTTAACACAAAATCTGCCTTTTTTTAACGCATCCGAAAACATATTTATTTAAGATGTATGAACATACGATAATGTTGAATTTTATATTAGGCGTCTTAAACTGTCAAACACCGCGAGGACATCGGTGACCTCAACCTATTGTTCTTTAATTATAATGTGTCTATAATGACGGTACTCAAAGGGTACGTAATACAATTTTCAGACTTCAATTTGACTTACAGTAAGCTTTTCATAATACGATTTTTTTTTTAAATTTTCATAAAACAATACAAAAGATCGGAATACCGGCTGTTGAAGAACGTGTCACTAATTCTATTCTCAGAATTCTTTGAAGATTCACAAATTATGTTTGTAATTTGTATAACTTTATTTTTCTTATCTAACAAGTAATTTCTAACAAAATGGTTGTCGCAGAGGAACCTATATACTAAATACTAGGATAGTTACGACTGCGAGTAGGTACAGTGGCAGTGACGCAATGCGGACCTCACTTTACGTTGGGTTTACGACACTATCACGTTGTACTGAA